ACAGGAGTGTTATCTCTTACAGAAGTGCCGAAGCAGCCGGACTACAGCACCTACTGTATGGGCTTCGAAATTCTTTTCTCCACGAGAATCCAAAACAAATGTGTATGGGCAGAGGGCAAATGTCATCTTTACAGGCGGCTCGAAGTATGACGGGAATGTGGGTTGTGGAATTTATTCTCCCATGCACTCATTGAATATGAGCATGAGATTACTGGATCAGTGCAGCGTTTTGGAACTCTTTGCAATTATGGAGGCTGCGGACAATCGGTGACAATATACTCCAACAGTCAGGCTGCAATCAGATCTCTTCAATGTAATGGTACCTCGTACCTTTTTAACAAACTCTTAACTAAATGCGGCCTTGCCATTGTCTGGGTACTTGAATACAAGGCCATCCCAGGCAATTCCATGACAGTTGAACTAGCAATGGAAGAAACCCTTCTACTCTCTTCTTTTGTCCACGGCAAAGTACATGCTCAAACTGACTTTTACCAAGTAACCTGACTCTAGATGGTTTAACGAGATCACACGACAAGACAGCTATTGCCGAAGTTGGACGCGAAAAAAACAATATGTCATATCCTTCTAGACAAGTTCTCTACGACTGGCATAATAACTTGATACTGTTTAATGGGGCTTCACGGGAAGCCGCAGCTGTAAGGACGAAGAAGAGGAGGAGACCATCTGCGTGACACAGGTTCTTATGGAAAATATTTCTTCGACTGTCTCCGAGTGAATATTAGAAATCTCGTTGCCTTTCAAGGGCACACGAAATGTTTTGATTATTTGAGATGGTGAAGGCACAATCTTCAGCGGTATCTAATGCTAGTAATGCAATTTCACTTCACAGTGTTTTTATTTTATTTATTTTATTATATTTTATTTTAATTTAATATGCTTTACTATTTTTTTTATTTGTCATAGTTTGTTTTACATTTATTTTTTATTTTTTTTATTATTCAATTTTTTACTTTAATTAATATTATTTTATTGTATCTTATTTTGTATTATTTTATTTATTTTGAACGACCAGTGTCAGCTACCCCCCGCTATTCCGCCGGACTGCCTTGAACCCGAAGCCGATCGTGGAAGGTCGCTGTTAGACTTGCCTCTTACACATCTACAGATTTGTTCATCAGCTGTTGTAAAATTACATGGGAAAAAGGGGAAGCACTCACTAAGTAGGTTTTAATACAGAAAAGCGAGTCAGAGGAATCAATATTGAATGAAATTTGTATTAAAATCGTTACAAAAAGATCTAAAAGGGTCTCGCATTTCAAAGTCTGTTCTGCATGAACACGATGAGAGGGGCCTTAACTGTCTAGATGATCTTAAACGGATCGTAAGGTTAAGCTCGCCAAGTCGAAATGGGCTATTGATAACAGCTCTTATCAATCTTTCTACGACTGTGGAGTGCAGGCATATTAAACGACTTTTGTAAAAAGCCAGGTTCTTATTCGCTTCCAAGTATAAATTTCTTAACGTCAAAAGTTGGAGTGGCTTTTCTACAGATTCCAATTTGTCACTATACTTTTGATAGTGCGGACTCCATACAACTGAGCCATATTCCGAAAGAGGTCTAACAAGTAAGGTAAAAAGTAGTTTGGTGATTTTATTTATTTAATTTTTTTATTCTATTTCATTTAATTTTTTAAATTTTATTTTAATTATTTATTTATTTTATTTTAATTTTAGTTTTATTTTAATTTTATTATTTTTTTCTTCTATTTCATTTTATTTTCTATATTTTTTATTCAAAACACATTACTTTATTTTATTGGTATTTCGTTTAATTTCAGCTTTATTTATTTTTTTTAATTTTTATTGTATTTAATTTAGTTTTATTTAATTTAATTTTGTATTATTTTATAGTGATTTATTATATTTTACTTTATTTTGTTTTTATTTATTTTTTTTTCTTTCTTTTTTCGTTTTATTTTAATTTAATTTAATTTTTTTCTATATATTATTACTTAAAAAGAACAAAAACGTGGTTTATCACTATTAGAAAAAGGCTTGTCGATTAGGTTTCTTCATTATTTGTGAATGTAGTCTATAAGTTGTCGTAGTCTTTTTATTCGACACGCTGGCGATACTTTTGCCGATCCATTTCGATATACGTTAAAATTTTTAATATTAATAATTAATAATTATTATCTTTTGAATATCTCTTTTATGTACTTAATGGTTTAAAATGGTTTTTGACCGATATAAAATGAACGACAAGCTGAGATGAAATCTAACCCTGTCCGTCTGTCGGTGCGTTTGTCTGCTGGAACACAAAATAGGCGCTCCCTTAACTCTTATATAATGCAACTACTTCTTGATATAGCAAGAGCATTGTAATGATAGCATTTAAGTTTAAAAAATATATTCACAAAAAGTATAAAGACTTCACAAAGGCCGGCAACGGCAGTCTTTTCCTGCTAACCATACGTGTAATTATGTGTGGCGGATTTCCTGGAAACATAGTATGGAACTTATTTGATCGGAATTTCTCCGTTGTCCAGATTACTTTCTTAGCTTTCGTGGAAATTAGTCACTGCTCAATGAGACAAAGAACGGATTTGATGACATAGATAATAGCCAGACAATTATCTTCGCTATATAGATTATGGAAGTCAGTATTGAATAAGCTTAGATATTTCTTCGAATCAGTATTGTGAAATATCCATCAGAATCTCCTTTCTAATTTCAATTGTACAAAACCAGGCATTTGTAAGTGTCAGTAATTAAACTAAATGAGCGTTTAGCACTACTAAAGATTTCACGATTTTTTCTAGTAAAATGGGGATTTTTTAAATGGAGCTTACAAACTTATTACTTTCTTAGCAGTTTTAAAAAAGCTTTTATATACAGTTTTATGTTATTCAGTATAGAAAAAATAGAAAAAAATTTATAAATATAATTTATATTTATTTTTGAAGAATTTTCAAAATTTGTTCTTATTATTATTTATTTTTTTTTAAATTTTTATATATAAATTATTATTATATTGTACTATTATTAAGTCTTATTTAATTCAAAATCTCTTCATTTATTTCTTACAAATCAATAGAAATTGATTTCCTACAATTCAATAGAAATTATTATTGCACTTGTCATTATCTAAATATTTATTTGAATCTCTATCAAAACTATTATTTACACTCAACTCAACTCTACGCATTTGTATTGCTTTTGATACAACAACAAACAAACAAACCGACGCTACCAACTCTCATCCATATTAAATTCAATGTTGACATTATTTACAAGATTGCGTGCCAATATACATACATACATATGGTGTAGAGTACGCCTCAGGCGCCAATATTACAAATCGCAAAAACATTTTGCGAACAGACAAAAGAAATGAGCAAGCAGTTGAAAGCAGACAATGAAGACGCTTGCAAAAGCGGCATGCGTATGGATATATATCTTTTTTCAATGAATACATTAGGGTTGGCGGAAAATGCCAAGTAAAAATTTTTGCATTTTTGCAAGTTTTTGTAAACAAAATTTTTATTATAGAATTTTACATGAATTTCGTAAGAAAAATTTCATAAATTTTCTGCTTAAAATTTTTTAACAGTCTCTCTTTAAGAAAAAATTTTGATTTCGACAAAATATTATGTTTCTTAGCAGGTTTGGTAATTTTTGGTAGTTATTTGCATGAAAATTGCACTAAAAAATTCTCTATTAACAAAGTTATTAGTACATTAGCGTCGATCGAAAAAATAATAATTTTTTGGAAATTTTTATTATCAAATTTTATTATATATTTGTTATAGAATTTTACATGAATTTCATTGAAAAAATTCATAATTATTCTACTGTTAACAGAAAAAGTTTTGTCAACCTGTATTTCAGTAAAAGTATTAATTTTGGGCAAAAAGTGATCCAAAAATTATGACAAATTTAAATGTTAATACCATGAATAGTTTTACAGAACAAATAAAAAGCTTAAAAATTTGTTGAAAAAATTTGTTTGTGTTTAGCGAATCTTTTTTTTTGGACCACCCTATGAGTACGACTGTGAGGAAACAATAGCTGGTAAGGTCGATCAAACGACAGTTGATTTAGTATGCATCATAAGGCGCAATCAATCCAATTCGATTTATAATAAACAAAAAAATAAAAATAAATTTTAAATAATACAAAAAATAAATAGAAAATGTTAAAAATAAAAGTCCAATGCTCAAACGCATTGTCTTTGCGGTTGCTTGCAATGCTGTTGTTGCATGAGTAATTCGTGCGACAGACAATGAGAAAGTCAGCGAAAATACCACACGTTACTGGATTACGCACAAATCTGCGCGTCTGCTTGTTTTCTTAGCCTTCTTTACTTCTTGATCGGCTGATCATTGAATCGTTGTCACCTCTTCGTTACAACAGGTGTATACGAGCTAGATCAGCTGTTCTAGACAACACACACATACACACATACACACCCAGTTACACATATACATACATATAGATATTTAATCAAACGATCGATCCAACCAATCGATGCTTGCATTTATTTTGGCGTGTGGCGAACGCGCGCTTCTACGATGAGCAAATGTCTCGGTCATCGGCTCACTTCCAGTCAACTCAATCACAGACAACTAGCCAGCTTAATAGTATGTAAACTGACGCGGCCAATAGCACAACAATCGACGAGTGACGAGTAGTTATAGCAGAAAAATCGCGCGTCAACGAATATACGAATGAAAAATTATTGAAAAATAAATATATTTTAAATAAAAATAATAAGTTAAAAATATTGAAAGTTGTAAAACAAATTCGAGGAATTAATTTAAAAAAAAAAATATTAATTTGAAAAAAATAGAGTGAAAAATATAAATAAATTCGAAAAAAATAATTTCGAAAAAGAAATTCCAAGAAAATAATTTCGAAAAAAAAAAATTAATTCGAAGACAGTAATTTCGAAAAAAAAAATAATTTCGAAAAAAAAAGATTCGAAAAAATAAATATTATTTCGAGAAAAATTATTTCGAAACCGAAAATAATTTCGAAAAACATATAAAAACATATAAATAAATAATTACTATATAAAATAGTTCAACAAGTTTTTGTACATTTATAAATGCACCGTCAATCAAAATGTTTCTGCGTCGCGCTATACAAGTTGCTACCGTATTGATTTATTGGTTTGTCATTGTGCCGGTTATTGCCAAGTATTTGGAGGACATTAAGTGGATGCGTCGCGGTAAATGGACGCGTAAGAAATTGGGATTCTATGGCATTGCAGCATTCACTTTCATCTTTATCTATTTCCTCTGCATGTACGCGTATATGTTGTGTAAACGTTGGGAGCGTAAAATACTCAGTGACATGAAACAGTCGGTGAGTAAAGCCGCGGAGTCGGAGGTACCATCAGCAGCCACATCAATGGCTACCGTGGCCGAATTGGAACCTTTGGAACGTTTACGTCCGTCACGTCCTGCCCTGTTACCCGCACCGGCCGCTAATAATGTCAATGCACATTTATTGACGAAAGAACAACAGCTGCAAGAACAGGATATTAATCAACAGCAGCAGCAACAGCAACAACAACAACAACAGAAGTCAACAGGTGCCCGTAGTAAAGTGAAGATTTTGCGTTCAGCACCTAAAATACCAACCGTACATCGGCTATTGCCATCACCTACAACCACAACACTGCCGGTAATTGTGACAACACCGTTAGCGCCACTGCCGGAGCAGCCCTATAGCAATGAGTTGGAGGCGAAGGCTAAGCGTTTAAGTCGCGCCGAAAGATTAACAACAGAATTAGCGGAGATTTTGAGGCGTTATTATCGCATGAGCACGGGTAACGGTAATAGTAGTAAAGCGCCGACAACAATGGTGGAGCGCGTGTAAGAATATATTCAGTACGAAGTGATACTTTAGAAAAATGTGTAGTAAAAATTTATTGAATATTTTTAGTTAAATGAAAAATATGTGGATTTCGCAACAATTTGAAATGGTATTTTGGCAGCGAAAAGAGAAAGTCAACTAAAGCTCACATAAAACATAAATAATGTGTATGCAAAATAATAAAATAAATTATTAATATTATTAATATATATCAATAATTTATTTAAAAGTGTGGTGATATATTAAATTGTGGTAGTAAAGAGCTTTGAGTAACGAAAATATATTAAAAAGCTGTAACTCTACTCAAAACCACAAAAATGTGTATCTTAAAGGAGAACATTTTATTTATATTAGTTGTAGTGAATTTTAATATGCTTTTCTCTAAGCGTACCAATAAAATGGAAAATTTCACAATTTCAGTTAAATAAACATAAGAATACGAATTGGAAATACAAATAAAGTCTAAGATAAAAATTGAGTTAAAACAAAAATAATATAAAATAAATATATCAAAAAGAATATAATATAAAAAGAGACATAAAAAAATAAATTCAAACTAAATTAAAATAATTCCAAAGTAAAACAAGAGTAAAAAATAAAATCAAACCAAAATAAATATAAATAAAGTGCAGATAAAAAAATTTAAAATAAATCAAAAGTAACAATAAAAAGCCAAATGTGATACAAAAATTAAATATATTAAATTATATAACATAATTATTATGAAAAAATTAACGAAAATAAACTAAATGTAAGGAATAATAAAATAAAAATAAATAGGAAAATAAATAAACATGAAACTAAAGAATGCATAATAGTAATAAAAGAAAATTAAAAAAAAATTAGATAAAAGAAAAATAAAACAACAATTTAATAATATAATAAAAATACGAAAATAAAATATAATCAAAATTAAATTTAAATAAAAAGGAAACTCAAAAAGACAAAAAATTAATAACAAAAAGAATCAAATCAAAATAAAATTAAAAGGAAACAAATTAAATTAATAATAAGTTATAAATAATACAAAGATAAAATAAAAATGAAATAAAATGAAAATAAATATAAATATTGTTTATTACTACTATTATTATTATTATTTTTTGTTTATATCATTACGATGAAAAATATAAATGTTTATAGTGAAGTTAAAGTGATTTAAGACACATATAAAACACGATGAATAATTTTCATACTGTGCCGAAGCGTTAAAACGATAATGACAAAACAGAAGAATAATAATATACAAATTTTAGTGCTGTGAATAAAATTCGATTTAAACAAAAATTACTATTACAACGTTTTCATTCTAGAAATGACATCACCGCATTAAAAAATTATTAGAAGTAGAAAAATTTAAAAAAAAAAAAATAACTTAGTAAGTCTTTTCAGTATTCAAAAACAATAATAATATTTTGAAAGAATTGAAAAAAGAATAATGTAAATGACTAAAGAAAAACAAAAAAAAAACATAATAAAATACTATTTTCATTTAATTATTTTCAGTTTTATTTGAAGATCGAACTCAAGAGTTAAAATAAAAATATCCTTTAATACAGCAAATTTGTACTGTACGATTATATATATAGTAAATATATATACACAAATGCGAAAAAAAAATGGTTTCGAGTTTTAACCAGAAGAAATTCTTGAATAGTGGTGAAAATCTTACGCCATGAAAATGAATCAAATTTATGTAACGAAAAGCGAAAAAGTATTAAGAATTAGCAAGTAAGAAGGACTAATTTAGATACTCGACTGTCATTCATACAGAACGCTAGACGGCTTATCTGACTTTCTCAGAAGGACTAAAGTCCAGTTATCTGGAAGGTAGGCTTTTTTACCGACCCATGTTAGTATGTTTTGGTAGGCTTGGTCTAAAACTTACCAAAACTGTCATATTCATTAAAGATCCAATTTTTAGAAACGTTTAATTTTTCTTTTTCATTAATTTGAGTGCTTTTCAGTGCTACACAAAACATTTATAATTGCTCAATATTTCTACTTTATAATTTATGCTATTTATAAGCTTTTTGTCTACGTGTTTATTTCAGTATTCTTCGTAAAAAATACCTTTGTTCTATTTAACAAAAATAAATAAGTTTGTAAAAAATCGAACGCCAATTATTGTGTTGTAGACTGCTACTTGGCACGTCTACACATTGGCAACACTTGATTTGGGTATTCATTAATACCATTATTGTTTGACATATGTAGATATGTCAGAAGATAAGCGAATCCTTTTTCGGTGAACAATGACAAAAAAAGTCTAGGCAATGATATGATAATAAAATAAATATGTATAAATGATAAATGACTTTGAATTGAAAGCAATAAATACCGTAAAAGCGAAAAAAGAAGACAAGAAAAAATTAACAAATTAAAAAAAAAAAAGCACACTATAAATTGCAAAAACGCAGTGCAACAAAAATTCTATTATAAAAAATATATAAATAAATAAATAAATACAATTCAAAAGAACAACAAAAATTAGAAGTAAAAAAGTAATAATCCTTATAATAATAAAGATAGTAATGATAAAAAATAATATTTAAATAACAACAAAAATTAAAAATATTTAGAATTCAAAATAAGAAGAAAAACAATAATTAAAATTACAAAATAATTATATTAGCACAGCTACCCAGGCTATCGGCTTAAAATAATAGTTAAAAATTAATAATTAAAAAATATAATGTACAAGACTTAATAATACTATGCTCGGATGACATTGAATATTAAAATAAAAACAAAAACAAAAAATAGCTTGATATTTGAATATATATTTCTATATTTAGAGCTTTAGAAAAAATAAATAAAAAAAATTAAGATTTTAAAAAGAAATTAATTTAAAATAAATTTTTTTTATAGAAAAATATAATATGATAAAATAAATATTAATAAAAAATAAAATAATAACTAATAATAAATATGATAAGATCAAAATAAATATTACAATAAAACCAAAAAATATTTTAATACATATTTCTGTATTTGATAATAATTTCAAATAATTATATTTTAGTAGAAAAATATAATTTAATAAACTAAATAATAGATAAAAGTAAATATCTTTTATTAATATTTAATGCAACCAAAGACTTGATTAGACTAGTAAACTGTAATCTAAAAATAATAATAATAATAATAATTTTATGTTAGAAAATATTTATTACTGCTGCAACAAAATGCCATTTTGAAAAATTGTGAAATCCTTATAATGTTGTAAATATGCATAAAAGTAACTGAAACCAGTTTAAATAAATATTAATATTTTTTTCTCAATTTTTTTTTCTTTTAAATATGCACATGTGCTTGCTGTATAATCATGAAACGCTAACGTTTAGCAAATGGACAAATATCTAAACATATTAAAGTAGTTTCATACCGCGAAATAAGATGGAGAAACTTTTATAGTAATTGTGTAAACAGATTTATGTACATTTACAGCATTCCACATATGTATATATAATATTTCGTAATGAATTTATATTTTTTTATAAATATAGAAATGTTTGCGCATAGTTAATACTGTGACTACGTAATTACTGTAATTGGCAGATATTAAGTGTAAATAAATTTAATAAAATATTTATATATATATACATAAACGAGTACATATATCTCTTATATACATATACACATTTGTCTGTGTGTTGAAAAGTATGTTTGTGCATGCTTATAATTATTACGTCGAATAACAAACGATAAGTTAATTCTTTTTTTTTTAAATTGTTGATATGAAAAGTAATGTTTATGAATACATACATACACTTGTATATACACATTTTAATATAATATTGTTTTGCAGGGCAATCCCTGCATAATGATTGTACACAAACAACAAAAATTTGCGGTTGAGTGGAATTTATCGCTCATAAATGTTGAAAAAAATTTGAATGAATTTTGAAAATCTGCCATTTATTTATTTTTATATTAATTTTTTTTTAATATTTTGTTTATAATAATTTAAACGTTAAGTTTTTCATGTTATACTGTTAATAATTGTTAATAATTTAAACATTTTTCAATTGAAAATTGAATTTTTCAAGAAAAGTTATTAAAATCTTAAAAAATAAATAATTGAATCTAAGCTAATAAATAACCAATTTTATGGTTACAGGTGGTAGATCTTCATACTATTACATATTCATATATGAACAAGTAAAAAAAAGTACTAAATGTTTTTTTTCACTTTGAAATAATTTAAATTTTTTTTTTCATTGACTAATTATTTTAATAATTATTTTCTGATAATTGAAAACTTATATTGTTTTTATATATTTTTATTTTAAATTGTTTATAAAAATGTAAACATATACATACATACGTACGTATGTATATATAAGTATTAATTAAATAGACGTTGCGACGCTTTTGGCTTTAATAACTTTATTAATTGTATTGTCTATAGTTTAGTGTAAATCGATAACTCTGTTGTTGTTAAATGTTAAGTACGATAATGTTGAAATTTTCAAATAAATTTTTAGAAAAATTGAAATGCGGTTTTCTATTTTTTGAAATGAGTAGAAAAGTAGTTTACGTACATTCATTATTATATTTATGGCATAACGATTTTCAGTTAGAGAAAAATTGAATACGGTGAGTATTTTGAACATTTACCTAATTTGATTACATAATGATTGCATTTTGAAAAAAAAAGGTAGTTAATTTAAGAAAAATTGGTGAATACAACGATCACCTATTTATTAGGTGGCAAATAAAAAACAATTTTATATTTTTTCCTATTTTATATAGAAAAAAAATTTGTTACAATTATATTTTTTATAAAAACAGAAATAATTAAGCTTTTTGAGCCATATTAAAGTTTGTGTAAAAATTGTGTCTCCTAAGAATTATGTATCTCAATAGCGTGACAAAAATAATTTTTTTTTTTTTTTACTTTATTCAGACCATTTTCACTTATGCAATAAATCTGCCGTATGTAAGTTATACGCATATTGACGTAAAACTGGCACACCCTTTTCTTCCCAATTGCCTTCGTATGTATATGAAATATTGAGGTATTAATCATTTTAATGGCATTAATAAATTTTATTAACAAAACTAATTTCAAAATGGTTGAGGAAAACAAAGCACAGCAAAGTAAAGTTCTTTACATATATATCATTTGAAAAATATGAGATGATGAAAAATATTAAATGATGATATTTAAATGTACAAAAAATGTGTTCCAATAATTTATAACATTTATTATTATATTTTTTAAATATAATTGACGATTTGTAAACGTTGAAGGAATTTTCGGCCGAGTACCTCTTCTAATTTGTGGTGGGTATTTTGTAGTTTTAGTCAGAAATGGAGGGAGCTACAGTTTATACTAAGCTTATATAACTTATAACTTATAACTTATACTAAGCTAATATTTAATTTTTATATATTATATTATTTTATTTAATTTAATAATATTTTTTTTACTTAATTTATTTTAATTTAATTTAATTTCATTCAGTTTTGTTTTATTTTATTTTTATTTCTATTATTTTTTTGTGTGTTATTTTATTTTAAATTATTTTATTTTATTTTCTTTTCCTTAATTTATTTCGATTTGATTTAATTTTTTTTTAATTTTTTTATTTAATTAAATTAATTAAAGTGGATAAATTAGTTTTATTTGCACTAATTAAACCAGATCAGCTAAGCCTAACTTAATAATAAAAACCTCAAAATATTTGAACTGAGCGCTTAACAAAAATTAATTAATTTAATTTTATTTTATTTTCCTTTATTTATATATTTTATTTTATTTGTCTTTATTATATTATATTATATCTTTATATATTTTAATTGATTTTGTTTTATTATATTTTATATTCTTATATTTTATTTTATTTTATTTTATTTTAATTTGTTGTACATTTCATATTTATTTCTGCTTCGTAAGCGATTGAATTACCTAAAACAGCTTTAATGAGACGTAGGCGCAAATAATGAGGACACCTACGTTTAGGGGGCAATATAAATGCGTCTGTTCTTATGTATTAATGCATATGTAGAACAAAGGGGTGTATAGAGCGTAGTAAATAATGAATTTTTTCATAATAAATAATTAATTATATGGATATATTACACATATGTGTGAGTTGATTTTTTTGTTGTATTATTTTGGAACCCTTAGAATGTTATATATTACATACACAATTATTTCTTTTTGTTTATTAGTCATTATTAAGACAGTGAGCAGACAATTCTTATTAGATTGGAATTAATTGCAATTAAATATATGTAATTGTTTGTGGTTTATAATTATAGCAGATTAAATGCTCATTAGAGAGCGTATATATGTTTGTATGTTACTGAAAAAATTGCAGGAGAGAGATTGTACAGATTTTTTCATTACAAATATATACTGATATTTGATCATGGTGTGTAATTTTCTGAAATACAACCCATTTTTGTTGGAAGAAAAAGTTTGTCAGTGCAATTACTTAGAAGGGAAATGATGTATTTAAGAATTTAAGGAAGTTCGCAATTATTAGAAATTTCCTGCAAACAAGTGAATTTTTAAAATTTTAAGCTTCCTTAATGAAACATGAAATGATTTGTAATAATTTGTTTGCTTCTTTCTATTCGGAATGTTTCTATTTGAAAAACAAATCTATAAATAAAAAATTAAGTTTATAATAATAAACAAAAATATTGTGCAATAAATAGAATCTAATTTCTTTCCAACAATTTTTAAATTGTTAACCAAGCTTAGTACTAATTGAGAGCGTTCACCGCATTCTAACTGCATATTTGCAGGTAAGTAACAGGCATATGTTAAATGTCGATAATGCAGTGCGTCTGCCGATGACTACTTGATATCGGAAAGTCTTAAACAGAGATTGCGGTTTATCTTGATTTGTAATATGAGTGCGTACTTGGAAATTAATGTGTTTGCGGGTATGACTAATCAGCAACCGTTATTTGAGTTCAACACGCAATTGCATATTAACGTTAAATATTTGTGGGTTTTACTAGTACGAGGTATTTTTCTATTTTGATTGGAAAATGTAGCACTTACTGGCAATTTAATAAATAAATAAAAAAGTAGACTAAGCCGACTATACCAAAAAGTAATCATTTATGAGTCATAAATTTAAATGTTTTGTAATTTTAGGATATTCAGCGACAATTGTCTATAAGCCAGTCATTGAATCGACTTATTGTGAGCTTCGTCTACGTTCGATTGTAACCGAAATAATTAATAAAAATTATATTTATTTATATATGATTGTCATAAACTCATAAGTGGCTAAAAATGATAATCATACGCATTAAATAAATAACAATAACTTTAAAAGCTTAACGCGGACCGAAGGTGACATAAACAATTTTTTTGGTTTTTGTTTCTTTCTGAAAACTTACTGTATTTTTGGCGCCGTTGGGTCATTAATTTCAATTTAAAAATTCTCAGCGTACCAACAGAAAAACAAAAGAAAATTTATTAAGTGGAAAAAGAGTGAATGAGAATGAATGAAGAAGTAAAGTGAAAGTATAACGATTTATTGGAGTTGATAAGAAAAACTACTAAATCATAAAAATGAAATTGCTTGAAAATGAGCATTTCAAAAAGAAGAAAAACAACAAAAAATACAAAATACAAAATGTATGTATATAACGTAAATAAGAGAATGAAAGTCGAAAGCGACAAAATGAAGAAAAAAAAAAAAAAAAATTTCGCGAAATGAAAAAAAGTATATAAAATTATCAAGAGTTCTGAAGGTCATAAAATGAATCGTTTGAGCAGGGTACACACACACACACGCACACGCACAAGGTATGCTGAGCTTTCCAGTCGTTTACAGACCCTCAGTATGTTACCCACAGCGGTTATTTTTTTTGTTTATAAATATATGTGTAGTAGCAAGTGAATATAATTCATATACATGAATATATATATATATATATATATATATATATATTTTTTTTTTTTAATTAAAACACTGATTAGCAAGAAATGCACATATGCATATACATATATATGCAGTATTAGCTTGTGGTTTTTTGGTTTACCGTTGGCCTGTTAAAATTTGTGCGTTTCCTTAGTAAAAGCTAAAATTCCTTTTCTAAACACATACAATATTTACTTTTCAACATTAGCAGCGCGTGCGGCTATCAACAGCAAAAGGAAACGAAAGGCAATAAAATACATTTCATTTAACTTTTTAATGGCGAATAAGAGTTCGCAATAAAACTAAAAAAAAATATTTTTACGTATTTTGGTAATTTCTGGGTTTTGTTTTTATTTCCATAAAGAACACATTCAATACACCAATCACCACCTTAGTGGTAAATGCCAAATTTTTAAATTTTAATCTCTGAAGATTTTCTTATCATCTGTTTAATACTTTTAATGCCTAAGTTTTAGTAAACCAGTCCAAGACGAATGTGTGTAGGTCACCAAGGCATTCTAAGCACTTGAACTCTGCAATTTCTGAGGAAGACTCCATCAGAATTTATCGAAAGTTATTATGATTGTAATAAAAGTCGTTTTTGATCAGATATATGACTTTAAATACATATATGTATACAAAAACTTTATCAAAAAAAAAAAAAGGTTGGGATAAGCTCATATTTATTTATCGCAAAAATTAACATTTACGACTTCATGAAAATTCTTCAAAATTTTTAACACAAAATAAGGTACACATATATTATATGTATGTAGGCATATAGGGTGCTTCTTTGGTCAATTTAAATTTCTTCAGGCAAAATGTGAGTTTAAAGTACTTTTTTCATATTTAATTTAATTATTTCATCATTCATTTATTAAATTCCATTCCATATCATTTCATTTTACTTCAGTACATTTGTGAAAGATAAACATTTTGTATTAAAATTTTTTTAACATTATTTTACTGTAAAATTTCATAAATTCGTTTACATATTTTATTGTATATTATTTTACTTTTATAAATTTGGCTTTCTTAAAACTCATTTTCTTTTAATTTATTTTTTTTTAATTCATTTATTCATATTTTATTCCAATCCATATCATTTATTCATATTTTAGTTTATTTTATTGTGTACTGTGCTTTTGATAATTTATTTGATTTAATTTAAATTAATTTTAATTTATTTAATTTAATTATTTTTTATTTCATTTAAATTAATTTACTTTTATTTGAATTCATATAATTTTATCTTCTTTTATATTATTTTGTACTACTTTAC